CACACACACACACACACACACACACACACACACACACACACATGCACACACACACACACACGTGGACATGCACTGAACTCCTTGGCATGTTAGCACACTGAGTCCATGGTGATCTGCCTATGACAGCTCCCTTGTACGTAAGAGTCCATCAAAAAACTTTTTTTGCCATAATGTATCTACACGCGGAATTTGGGGCCCGCAGAATGATCCGACAGATTCTGTGAAACAATGGAGCCCTCCCACTGGACCCCCTTCCAGTGGGAAGGAGTTACATCTACCTTGGATGGTTTTTTCCTGGACCTACGGGGATCAATGGGACACTACCACTATCCGTGTGTACTTGCGAATTTTAGGACCCGTGGTATCCACCAGTTGCTGCTAACTCTGTGGGAACATGATGTTTAATTTTATTTTTATCTTTATTTTTATACATTTTATATATGTGAAGCAGGCCCTGGGATGGATACGGGTACCCGGCCAAACACAGGCCGAAGGCAGTTGGGCACATGCAACCACTTCAGACCCAAGGCCTGCTCTCCTCGTGCTGGGCCGCAGGCTACCGGGGCCTACTGGAAGCTTCCTGGGATTGGACGCAGGCAGGCCACTTCGATATAGCAAAGGGCCTGCCTCCTCATTTGGCATTCGGGTGCTGGCTGCATGCTGCGCAAGCGCTGCTGCTGCGCTATTTGCTGGCTGGTGCCTACGCTCTCACGGGCGAGCAGGGAAGGAGCACGCAGCCATAGCCGAGCTGTGCCGCTGTAAGCTGGGTGAGGCGCAGGGTGGTCCTTGGGTGCTAGTGGCATCTGTGAGTTGGGGAACGAGGTTGTGAGCGTAGCGCGAGACATACCTGGTGCCGGAAGCGTGCGACATTGGTCGCCATATGCTCGTACTTCGGGAATGCTGTTCGGCTTCGTAGTATAGGCTAGATAGGATCTGCCACATGTAGTCTGGGCGCCGAGCGCCAGATAGGATATCAACTCTGGTTCTTCGTTGATGATGATGGGACTATTTCAGCATTGTCAATTATGAACTCTTGGTGTGTTCTTATTTGGTAATTCTCGTGATGCAATTCTGTTGTTGGTTCGAGGTTAAGACTATCTAGACTCATATGTATGATGCTGTTTGATTGCTGAAGTTCGCTATTGCTCACCTTCCTTGCAATTTGGTATCGGAGTTGTGGTACGATTGCGCTCATCTGGCGCATGTCTTCTGCCTTATGCGGTACATACATGGGGTCTGCTGGGCGAGTTTGGCCGTATGTGGTGTGTAGTGAGGAGGGTGGAGACGAGTGTCTAGGCGACCCAGGAGGTGAGGGGTTCGCCTGGAAGGCTACGTGAGGTGAAATGTGGTCTGGACAGTGTGATGAGAACTATCTAATGTGTGATTGATGCTGAGGTGGAACGGCGAGATAATGCTGGTTGTGCCGATGCAGTGACTGGTCATCGCAATCGACATTTGGTCATCTGGTGAGATTATCTCTGTGGTTGGGGGCAGCTAATTGAGGTATGTTGCTCTTAACCTTATCTTCCCTCTCCGACACTTCTTACCGCGAGGTTGTGTGTTCCTTCTTGAGAGTCCTCTCATCGTGAGGAGTCGAGTGCGCTCAACCTTGAGAGTCGGCAATGTTCACGTGGAGCATCTGGGTGGAGATGGGCGGAGCTTTCTGAAGGGCCCTGGACGAAGCACTRGGTCACGGTCACCATGCCAACCCAYAGGGAGYAGAGCAYGCRTGMCTTGCTGCTTGTCCTTTGTYCGGCTTGCTGCGCTGTTAGATGGGTACTACTGGGCAGGCCAGCCCTACAGGAAAGACGAGCACCCGGCGTCTATAAATAAACACGGGAAGGGGATATCACTGGCTGTGATCTCGTCGTGCTGCGACGTACAATAATTCCTGATGTTACTTGGGAGCGGACGTTTAAATGCCTCTGGATCAGCCAGTGATGTAAAGCTCGCGGCACACCGAGGTTAAATATACGTGCAAAGCTGGCCTTCTGAGCAGATACTCGGGGCACACGGGCGGGCCGGACACACACACCTTTAGACATGCAACGCTCTCCAGATTGCTCAGGGACGCTGACGTCAAGTGATACTCAGGGGAACTAAGGGAGAGGTTGATTCCAGGTGATAAGTTCGAGGAAATTCCATGCTGTCCTATCCACACAAATGATTCTATTTTTATGTTTCGATTAGTTTGGTGTACAGCCATTGACATCTGACAGACAGCATTAGTTAGAACTGCTTCTTGTTCCTGGTGCTACTGTTTGCGGACTAGTCAAACTAAAAATAGTCTCGTTTGTAGGAATCTAACTTACATGTTGACCTCAATTGATATCTATTCCGAAATAGCAACCAATTGCTTTGATTGGTCTGTGCACTACGCTGCGTTAGGCACTTAGTGTGCATTAGTGCAGATTGTGTACAGGTCTGTAGCTTATGAGCGATAGGGAGGAACAGCAACCGGACGACCGGATCTTGCGATCGGCAAGGCGCCGTGTAGCCCACTTGGCATTAGGACCAGAGGGCGACAAACATCTGTTCCGCCAGCTTCGGGAAAGGCAGCAACAGCAGAGGAGGGCTAGAGCAGCGGAGGCGAGCAGGGCACTCGTGAGTGAGACCGCAGCTTCGGAAGCCATGTCTACCTCAGCAATGCAGACTTCTCAGGCCGGTAGTTCTGTGTCTGTCGGGTCAACGGTCGCGCAGACCGTGGTACAGTCCACTGGCGTAATGGCGAGCCAGCCATTGGTGTTGACCCCTGATGAGATCGCCATATAGGAGGCAGTCCTCCGAGAGGCACGACTACAGAATGCTTTAGGAAAGATAAAAGCGGAAAAAGAAAATATGATTAGAAGAAGAGCCAGGATGCAACGTAGACAAGCGGACGTTAGTGAGTTAGAGGAGATGGACCTGACGAACGTGCCTGATGATGTGAGACTTGTACGGTCTGTCCTGCTGAATGTAGTTGAGATGCAGGACCATCAGACAACCATCCTTCAAGACATCCAGCAAAGTCTGGCCCTGTTGGTTGGGCGAACGCAGGCAACATCGCCAATGTCCGGGCCTGGTGCCTGGCCCGTTGCACATTCTCCTCCGTATGCCCCACCGGTGACTGGGGTATCCCCATATGTAGCCCCGTCATCGGTTGCGATCGTTTCCCTGGGCATGCCGCTGTCAGGAGGGGTATTAGCACGGACTAGTTTGCAGGTTCCTGTTCAGACAGTGTACGCCCAAACTCCGTTGCAGGTTGCAGTCACCACGCAGCCTGCTGTCTCGCAGCCTGTGCAGCCGCAAGGCACACGGCCCAAGCTGGTGGCACAGCAACCTGTGTCACAGGGTCCAGAGCCCGTAGTGATGCAGGGACCGGGACAGACACAGTGGGTTCCAAAGACGGCCATCGCCGGTCCTAAACCTTTCACAGGGGATAAGAGGGGCGAAGACCTCGACACGTGGTTGAGGGCAGTGCCGGTCTACGTCAGGTGTAAACTTACCTTGCCGCTCAAAGAAGTGTTTTTGGCTGCCTCCTGCCTAGAGG